AAGATCAAAATTCATGTGATACTTTGAGGCGGTGTTACACTAGGGAATGTTTTGTCAGTGCAACTTGTCCTTAATTAATGTCTCACAATTGTGTTGCCGTCATAATTTACGTAAAAAGCTGCCTAATATAACATACCCTGCAACAAAAAATTTTCACGATTGTTTTGTTGCCGTAATCATTGTGTAAGGTAGAATTCAGACCTTGTACTTTTCGCAATGATTTTCACAACGCTGAAACGAATTTTCAAAGCGTTTCGCAGTGTGACAACCCCGTCTCACTCTCTGTATTTAGTCTTGCTCCAGTTATTTTCTGCCTCTTCAACAATCACCCCAATTAAAAACAGCTCTAGTATGTCTTAAATACTCTCACCTTTGTTTCGCTCCCTTGCGTAATAGGTGTTGTAAAAATAGTATGGCTCGTGAAGTCCATAAGTCTTTTTGACGTAGCTTGTTTCAGGGTATGCGTAATAAAAGGGCTGTTGAGTTTTTGTTTGACCGTTACGGATAGTATGAAATTGGAAATCAGTGCTGGCAGAGGTTATTTTGCCATCGGGAAACCTCTGTTCGGGAAAATCCTGGCACATGTACTGTAAGATGACTTGTGACTCTACCATGTCATCGGTCTTTTGTCCTGTTCCGTGTTGATTTGTCCACATAATCTCCACCTCCGTTTTCTTAGCGTCCTTGCCGCATTCACTCATGTAAAATTGCTATTATATCGGGAAATGAGGGGTTTAAAGAAAAAAGGGCATGTTAGCTCAGATTGCATATATAGTAGCAAAACTATAGCCGAATAGATAGAATATTCAATCATGTACACTGCATAAAGAAATCCGACTCGCGTTTTATCTGTAAGTTTAAGTTTAAGTTTAATGATACTTTGTCATGCTAGTACAAGTAAATAAATCACACTTTTTGTTTTCCATGCATCGGCGTCGACTATAAATGTTTCAGTGCTTTATTGACAAATCGTAGTGGAAAACAGAAAACAAAAATAATCGCACATTTTCGAACACAGCTACATTCCTCAAATTTGACGAGTTAAGTCTTCTTCCTAGAATTGTAAGTTTTCAATTCAGAAATATATTAATATCAAAAATTTAAATTTCATCGAGAATATTTGACACTTGGTTTCCATACAAACGCTGTATTTGGTGGCATAGTTGCCTTTATTACCCATAATTAATCACCATGTCCTCTCTTACGTAATATGTATGATCAGTTACATAGCTTTAGCTTACGCCGCCTGTGCACTGTCTCGATAAATATTAACAATGCATTTTGTCATAGACTACAAAACAATCCGTTTTTTTTTTTTTTTTGGCGTGGGTCCACTGATGAGAAATCATGGTATTATTTGTTCTCTTCAATTGAATAAGTAGAATAATTATTGCGGATTGGAAATGTTTAAAACTACCACTACCACTTAAAACGTTTTGTATCTTTTACCATTGGCAGCTGTCTGTTTTCGTTAATGGCATTTACTGTTGCCCGGCTGTTCAGTGCGTCACCCACGTTGTATCCTGCTTTACCATTATTCTAGAAAGAAAGAAGGTCATTAAAATATTTTTAAATATTTGTATATATACAGTACAGCCCGAAAATGTTGCACGCGCAAGAACACGCAACCCGCCTCGAGNTCTGTTTATTTTTTTTTTTTTTTTTTTTTTTTTTTTTTTTTTTCCTGCGGTTTACCCGCAAGAACATTTAAAACGCAAGAAGTTGAAAGTCTAACCGCAAGAAACCGCAAGAAGCCGCGAGAACTAATGAATCTTACCGCAGGCCGCAAGATGGCGCAAGAAGTTGCTGCAGGTCAAACTGTCTGTTCGTTTATAAGTGCCATGTTGGCGGTCAAAATGCTCAGCGCTTGCTCGCAATGTTATCCATAAGATATGTCACTGCAGTGGGAAGTGATGTATTTCGAACAGCTGAGGCCAGGTCTGGATTTATGTTTGCTTATACTGTGAAAATAATATCGTTTTTGCTTCTGAATGCCAAATTCGTTGTCATTCAGAAGTGTTGGTTTGTTCTTCCTGCGTGATCTGTGAGCGAAGACAACTTTCGTTCAAATCTCACAATGGACCGCTGCGTGCGTAAACAAATGAGAACTACGATTTTGAAAATTTCTTTANAAAAAAAAAAAAAATAATCGCAGGTTTTCGAACACAGCTACATTCCTCAAATTTGATAAGTTAAGTCTTCTTCCTAGAATTGTAAGTTTTCAATTCACAAATATATTAATATTAAAAATTTTAAATTTTATCTAGAATATTTAACACTTGGTTCCCATGCAAACGCTGTATTTGGCGGCACAGTTGCCTTTATTACCCATAATTAATGACGATGTCCTCTCTTACGCACTGATGAGAAATCATGATATTATTTGCTTTCTTCAATTGACTAATTACTGCGGATTGGAAATGTTTAAAACTATCACTACCACTTAAAAAGTTTTGTATCTTATACCATTGGCAGCTGTCTATTTTCTTTAATGGCATTCACTGTTGCCCGGCTGTTCAGTGCGTCACCCACGTTGTATCCCGCTTTGCCATTATTCTAGAAAGAAAGAAGGTCATTAAGATATTTTTAAATATTGAGAAATATACCAGTACAGCCCAAAATAATGCACGCCCAAGAAGTTCTTGCGTCCCAAGAACACGCAACCCGCACAAGAAGTAAAAATGTCGTGTGTTTTTTTTGAAACGCGGGAAGTTGAACGTCTAACCGCAAGAAGTCGCAAGAAGCCGCAAGAACTTATGAATCTTACCGCAAGCCGCAAGATGGCGCAAGAAGTTGCTACAGGTCAAACTGTCTGTTTGTTTATTTTGTTTATAAGTGCCATGTTGGTGGTCGAAATGCTCAGCGCTTGCTCGCAATGTTATCCATAAGATAAGTCACTGCAGTGGGAAGAGGTATATTTCGATCAGCTGAGGCCAGGTCTGATTTATGTTTGCTTATACTGTGAAAATAATATCGGTTTTTGCTTCTGAATGCCAAATTCATTGTCATTCAGAAGTGTTAATTGTTTTGTTCTTCCTGCGTGATCTGTGAGCTAAGACAACTTTCGTTTAAATCTCACACTGAACTGCTGTGTGTGTAAACTAATGAGAACTACGATGTTGAAAATTTCTTTAAGTAATTTTCTATCAGTTTGAAAGTGGAAGAAAAAGCAAAGAGAACCCATTTCAGTACAGCTGATGACGTACGCCCAACATTGGTGTCCTATCCAAAGACAGAAGTTGTAAATATAAAGTCGTGACTGCGCGCCAATTACGTGAGAAATAGGCGCGCAGAAGACCAATCACAACCGANGTGTATAAACTTTTACCAAAGGGTTTTTTTCTTTATCATTTTGTGCACCGTATTCTATTCAAACTGCGCTTCGGATCGGCAAACATGGAATCCTTAGCTAGAACCCTCGATACTGCTGTTGACCGAGACACTTCTAAGTAGTAGTAGTATGTAGTAATGTGAGCCACCTTTATACCTCCAAATATACACATTGTTCTCTGTCATTGAACTTTACAACATCCAAACATTCGCGTTACTTGAGCCTTATTTGAAGCCATCGATTGTGTTGTGTCATCTGAATATATCTTTCTATGCTCCAACGATGAAATTTAAATGCATGCGTTTAAATAACTAACATGATTTCTTGAACACTAAGCCAAGTGTGAAATGCATTCTAACATTTTCAACTTCTTCGGTAAGGTACGATCAAGTCAAATGAGTATATTAAACTTGGATCAATTCACTTACTTACCGTTATTAACTTTGAACTGAAGGCTCTATCCTGAGTTGTTTGCAGGACGAGGCGCAGAAACATTATCAGTTTTTACCGCAAGTCTTTATCTTATCTATGGTGCTTCGGGATTCAGGATTTGCACTTGAATGGGAATTGTGACTCCCTTTGTCTGCACGCCTCTAAGCTATTCTTAAAATGTCAAATTTGCCGTGCTATTCACGTGATTCACATTAAACTGGAGAAAGTCGAGTTCTATAGCATATTTATTGGTTATGTCTCCAGCTATTTTGGGAAGAGTATTTCGATTTTTACCGTTAATTTCTGTTACAAGGAGCCATACACTACTAGGCGACATTACTACATCCCTCATGGCTGGTGATAAATTCTCACAACATTAACCTTCAAACTTCCAAGCTAATGAATAGCTCTTAATGTGTCGGCGACGCCTTTGTTATACCTTGATAGAGATGCCAAGTCCCATACATGTTATGCTTCGTTGCAAAGTAAGTTAAAAGTAAATTGATTTACGTCATTACAGCAGACCGTGGCTACATTCTTTTTCTATTTTGAGATTCGATTTTTGGCGCCTCCCTCTAACAGACTCTTTTGTTTCTGATGAAAACTTAATGATAAAAATTATATCACTTTGTTAAATGCTTGCACGCATGCTGTAAATCTGATTACTTGCGCGCACAAACGCTTTCATGCATTTACATTGGTTTGCGAAGATGTCTCGTAAAACCTATATTAGATTGTCAAGGAACCTAAAAGGAGTTAAAAATGCTACTCATAAAGACTCTACAAATGTCTCTGAATATTAAAGAGATGTTACGCGTGATTTGCAAAAGACAGTGGCTACATTCTTACCATTACCAAATTACCAATGATGTGATTCACGTTAAACAAGAGAAAGCCGAGTTCTAAATAACTATTTTGGAAAGGGTCAGACACATTTATGCGACATTAGCAAACTTCTTTGGGAATAAAACTCTATTCTTGTGAAAATGATTTGTGTTGTTCTTGCCAACCAACATGGCTTAAGTGCAAATCACCACATAAAGAGTGTCGTA